TGCTGAAAATAAAACAAAAATATGCACAAAATAAATACCAGAGAAATTACCACCAAGACAGTCACACAAAAAACCACACTGGATTACATTCAGATAACACTTACACTCCTTTGCCTTAAAGGCACAGAGTACAACAGTAACATTCCAGAAGTAAATATTAGTGCTGTCAAACAATTAATCACGATTAATCACATCCAAAATAAAAGTTTTTGTTTACATAATATATGTGGGTACTGTGTATATTTATTATGTATATATAAATACACACACATGCATGTATATATTTAAGAAAAATATGTTATATTTGTATATTTAGCAAATGGCTGCAATATAACAAAGAGTGAAAAATTTAAGGGGGTCTGAATACTTTCCGTACCCACTGTACATATATATATTATATATATATATATATATACTGTAAGTAAATTAATGTTTATTTCAGTAAGGATGCATTAAATTGTTCAAAATTGACAGTAAAGACATTTTCAGTGTTACAAAAAATTCTATATCAAATAAATGCTGTTCTGTTGAACTTTCTATTCATCAAAAAATGCATAATCGCTTCCACAAAAAGAGGCACTGTTTTCAGCATTGATAATAATAATAAAGTAATAAATCAGCATTAGAATAATTTCTGAAGGATCATGTGACACTGAAGACTGTGGAAATGACGCTGAAAATGTAGCTTTGCCATCATTACACTGTAAAAAAAAATCTGTAAAATTGACGGTAAAAAAACGGCAGTTCACCGTATATAGTAGGGGAATTTACCGTTAACCATTTAACAGGATTTGACTGTAGCATTTTTACAGTCATTTACCGTTAAATTCACGGTCATTTTTTACAGTGTACAATACAATAAAATGACATAAAATATATTAAAATGGAAACCAGTTTTTTAAAATTGTAAGAATATTTCACAATATTACTGTTTTTACTGTAATTTTGATCAAATAACAGTTAACATTTTGAACAAATACAGCCTTGATGAGCATAAGATACGTTTTTTTTAAATTTATTATTTTTTATACTTATTACGGGTATATTATTTTATGCTTCAAATGAAAGTTTGAAATGTTGTGAATCATCCCAGAGATGGCTGGTTTGGTTCATTACAGGAACTTTTTATTGAAGAATTTTTTTGAAATCCATGTAGAGAAAATGAAAGGGAAAAATACCGCAAACAAGTCTGATTTTCTGCCATCATTTACTCACCCGTATGTGATCCTGTGGAACTTTATCCTGTGAAACACAAAAGTAGATATCTTGAATGACACTTTTATGGTGTTTTTGAATCTATTTTGAAACTTAAAAGCTTCAGTTCCCATTACAAGCTCCATTTTTGTTTTGTAAGTGCATGCATAAACCACCCAACGCATTCTCCTTTTGTGTTTCACGGAAGAAAGACTATGTTGAGTGAACTATGTCTTTGCAACCTCTCACCTCTTTCTCCTTCTGTTCGGCCCATAGCTTGTCTCTGAGAGTCCTGAGTGCTGCTTTTACTTCCTGTTTTAGCCCCCGAGAGCAACTCCCACGTACCTCTGCCTCACATGAGCTCTGAGGATAACAAAAACCTAATGCTTTTCGCAACCTCATAAATCATGACCTGAGATACAACTCAGGAAAACTACTATCACGACTCTCTGCACCCACCTCTTTGCTAGATGCTCCTTCGTCATCCTCCTCCTCCTCACTCTCACTGTTGTTGATGAAACACAGCTGAAGGTTTTTAGGACTATTAAACCTGAAGGATGGAAACACACAGCACACATTAAACAGAACAAGGTAGCTAAAGATTATGAACATGCACATGTGAATTACCGTGACATTATGACAGGGACACGGCAGGGACTGTAGTCGTTCTCATCCGCCCATGGCTCCCGATGGAGTGAATGGTGTTTTGATTCTGTCCAGCATCCAAGTATTCTGTCTCGCTCTGATAAACCTAGACTCTGAAGCATAATGAGGTCTTTAATATTTTCATAAATATAAATATATATAAAGTCCTGGTAAAATGTTACCTCTGCTTTTTTCCTTCTTTCCTCTTCCTGCCTTTCTAGCTCTGCAATCCGCAAACTTAAATCTTCCCATTGCATGATGGGTAGGTTGTGATCACCCAGGGGGGACTCCTCACTTTGCTCTTTGGTCCCCTGTCCCGAGGGTGAGGGGTTATCAGTGGTCCTCTCATAATACCTGTCGCTGTCTGGATTCTCCTCCATCCGTTGGAGAGTGATGCTAGTCCAGCATAGACAGGCTAAAAGCACATGCAAAATTGTATATATTATAAAATATAAAGACATAAAATAATTTCCAAAACCTTTCCAAATCTTTCATAAAGCTAAACAAAAAAAATATTTTGAGGGGGGAAAAACATCCAGGGTGACTCAACAAAATGAGTGCGTTTTCTAGTCTGAAAAGCTGATTTTAAAAGTTAAAAGTTTGTTGTGACAATTCAAAATACATTTTGAAAAGCTTGGGGTGGGTGATATTTTGAATGTTTTTGAAAGTCTTTGAAAGTGCTCACCAAGGCTACATTAATTTGGTACATTAAACAGTAATATTGTAAAATATTATTACAATTTAAGTCATTCTAATATGCTGATTTGCTGTTCAAGAAACATTTCTGTCAACATCATCAATGTTGAAAACAGTTGAGCTTCTTAATGTTATGTGGAATTTTTTTTTTTTTCAGGATTATTTGATGAATAGAAAGTTCAAAATAACAGCATTTATTTGAAATAGAAATATTTTGCAACATTATAAACATCTTAAGAGTCACTTTTGGTCAATTTAATACATATTCGCTGGATAAAAGTATTAATTTCTTAAAATGACCCAATGGACCCCAAACTTTTGAACAGTAGTGTATGTTGGGATGTACATACAAATTCTCTTTAAATGCTATAAAGTTTTATAGCAAATTTAGCAATCATAAAGGGTATATTTCATAACAAACTTCAGGAGAATTTGGAAACATGGCTGGGAACAGGCCAAAAGACATTCTCATGGAGAGAGAAAAAAACACGTTTTGTTTCTGTATACAGATACGGCTACATAAGAAATTGCCTGCAGAGAGAGTAAAAGTTGGAATCTGTTTTTCGCTGTTAATATAATTGTTTACACGTTCATGAGGGACAAAATGAAATTAAATGACCCTTCAAGTAAGACACTAGGAAATTGTATTTTATTCCAGACCTTTAAAGAATGTAGCCATGCTACATTAAAATGACTGTTTTCAGAGAAAACGAGCCCAGCACACTCGTCACATTAAAATGAAGTAACGTGAGCATTTCTGTTTGCTTCATGACGCATGACTAATACTTGAATCCTTAAAAAGCATCCACTAAAATGTTTTTTTTCTATTCATCATAAATGTTATACTCCATTTTAGACGTGACAAAATTGGATCGTATCGTGGCTGAGCCTCCGGTTCCCGTTTTCTTTTCATTTCTAGGAGTTGTGACATGAATTCACTCACCTTTTATTGTAAAACTGATGTCGACATCGCGACTGTCAGCTAAAATTCAATGTATTTCAACATTTCACGCTGTTTAATGAATTATTTCTCACTACTTCAAGCCTTCCTCTGCTGGAGAGGAAACACCCCTCTGGCTTTCCCTTTCCTCCCGCCCTCCGTCCGTGTTTCTTCAAGTATGTTTTCTTGAACCGCAAGTTTACGGCGACTTTTTAATCGATGTCGATCGTCTGAACTTGTGGAGTCAGTTGCTGCAGTTAAAGTCTGAATTGCGCGTTAATGTTTTGTATAGTGTTATAGTGAAAGCTGGAAGTGCAGATAAGACTGTTTGGGAAGGGTTGAGAAAGTAGGTGTCCGATTTCACATGTTGGGACTGGGAGATGAAGACTGCGAGCAGATGGGAAAGTCTGCGGGACTGTGGCGTGTTCACACTGCTGATGAAAGCTGTGATGCAATGCTTCAATAATGTAGAAAATCACATCCCCTTAAACCCTAACAGAAACTTCACATCGCGTCTCTGTGTAAATATTTGAATATTTCTGGAGGAGCTCGAGGTTGCTGATGCAGTTTGAAAGTGGACTAAAGTATTGAAAATATTTAGCAACAAAAGTACTCACTAAAATGAAGACGGAAAACGTTTGAAAAAATAAATAATTGTATTATGCAGGATGATACAATAAAAATGATGAAATATTGAATGGAATGTTAAAAAATGAAATATTAAACAATATTTAAAATGATTTTAATGACTATAAAACGTCAAGTTGTGTATCCATTAAATAAATAGTAAGACATTATCTTCTAAAGAAGTGTTATTGCATGACAACAACACTTTTAAATGCATTAAAAAATAGATAATTCCAAAAATATATATGCCAAAATGTTTTCCTCTAGGAATGTTTTGCATTTTTTTGAGAGCTATATCTTTTCTTTTTTTTTTTTTGGATAGTTTCCTAGACAGAAAATAAGTGTTATGTCGCTGACCCATTTACGTACATATATAGGCTATGTAGGCTGTATGGGTCATTGATGCAAAGCATTTCTTTTTAGAAATGTATTACATGTGGGTATGTTGTTGTCATATGTTGTTGTCATTCAAGCAAAATAAGAATATTAATAGTAAGACATTATGACGATCATGTAAATGTTTAAATTCAAATTTCAGTTACGTTTACATAAACTGAACTAATTTCTAATATTTTATTATTATTATTTGTTGAAATAGAAAAATAAATTTAAAATTAAAACATTAAAATTTCAAATCTTGACATATCTAACTATCATATATCTATATAGTATCTCTCATATATAACCTTCATTTAAAAACTGCATGTTGTGTTCACTTGTGTTATCTTTTACTAATATTTAAATTTGTTTGATGATCTGAAACATTAAAGTGTGACAAACATGCAAAAAAAATAAGAAATCAGGATTTATATATATATATATACACACATATATATATATAAATTTGATCTATAAAAAATATATATATATTTTAATTAAGAATTTGTATGTTCTTCCTTCAGCATTTCTACATACTCTCTTTTCCTATAAAAAGAAAGCAATACAGTGTAAATGTCATTCATTTGTCCTCAAACTGTAGCTAAACTCTATCTGTCTGTTCTGGTGGAGCTTCCAAAAGTTCCCACTGTGTGGCATCAATGAGCCTATAGTTGATTTGTCTGTATTTCTGTGGGTCTTTCTGCCTCTGTCTGCGCACCTCTTCATAGAGACTCTCAAACACTGGCTGAGGGGGTGTGAATCGGCCCACCCTGGCCAGGTCCAGGTAATAATCCCACTGATCCTTGTCCAAATTGAGGAGGTGCTTCACCTGCACACCTATGTCTTGTTTTCGTTGCATCTCTCTCTGCACTTCCTTCTCCATCTCTTCCTGGGTGGGCAGCTTTACTGAGCCCTCCAGGACAGCAAGAGCAAACTTAACCTATGGATACAAACAAGAACATTAGAGTGAGAACCAGTCCCATTCAGTATTCAAATCATATTGCGTTTCCTCTCTGCTCACCTGACAGTCAAAATGTATGAAAGGGCAAATAATTTTGCAAATGCCAAAAAAGAAAATTGAAGGGAAGCCAGGGGGCAGTAAGTATTTGTAGAGTGGAGTCACAAAAAGATCCTGTACGTCCAGTCCCAGCTCTGATGGACAAAGGAAAGGGAAGTTAAAGTTGTATCCTGTACAGAACAGAAGAATATCAGCCTGGGTCACTGATCCATCCTGGAACTGTAAAGATCCGTCCTCTAAAACCCCAACAACAGCGCTAGCCTGCCGGATACCCAGAGGAGGAGGTAAGGACATGGTTGGTGTGTTAGGACTTAGAATCACCTAGAATGAGAAAAACATTTGCGCATAAGAAATTGAAAAACAGTCGCTCAATCTCAGTCACTTATTGGTGAGGCCAAAAAAGGCCAATTCAAAGTGTTTGATTTTAAATGTTAACCAATGAGATGGATAAAATGAACAACACAAAGGGATACGGCAATCAAAAATAACATTTCTGTTATTATTTATTCACACTCAGTTTGTTCTAAACCCATATGACTTTTTTTGTGAAACTCAAAGGGAGAAATGTTCATACTGATCTTTTCAAAACAATAAAAATGCATGGGTGGGAAGGTTTAAAGTCACAATAAAATGGAAGTAGCGAGTAGCGACACATTTTTTTCTTCCATATTGTGACGTTCATCCTAGTGTAACACAATATTGAAAAAAAATAAGCAGGGCGAAGACTTGGTTCTGTCTATCGGTTGCTGATTGTTTTTAGAGATACGTGTTGCACTCAAAAGTGGAGGCAGATGAACGTGAGCTTGCATTATTAATTATTGGAGAAACCTAGTATATATCCAGTTATGACATTTCTATTAAAAACAAAAAAAAGAAAGAAAGAAAAGAAAAAGGAAACAGGCACACATAAATTGTTCACAATAAGATCTGTAATATGCATTCTAAAATAGATAAGAGTGAATTTTCACTTCATGCGAACTTTAAATATGGGTCTGTTATACTTTTATGACTTCAAAAGACCTTGAATCAGTTTTATTATCCTTAACTAAAATTAAAACCATAAAAAATTTTTTATACTTGAAAAACATTAACTTAAACTTGTTTTATTTCAGCTAGTTGCCAAGGCAACATTTCTCATTTTTTAGTTAACCTTTAAGTAATAAAATAACTATAACTGAAATAAAAGTTAATACAACTATATATACATAAAATCTAATAAAAATTGAACACAAAAAATGACAACCTTTAACTAAAATACAAATTGGAAATATCAAAATCAAACCAAATTAATAAAATCTGAATAAAACCTATAATAGCATATCAATATTGTACATCTCTTAAATGGACTGCTTTTATGGTGCTTTTGGTCATTTTTTGGAGCTTGTCAGCGTCCGTCATGATTCCGAGCAGCATGAACTAACATCTTTTGTGTTCCACAGTGAAAAGAAAGTCATTCGGCTCTGGAACAGCATGAAGGGTGAGTAAATAATGATCGATTTTTGTTTTCAGGTGCCCAACACTTTAATTTTCAACCAAACAAAGCTGTGGCATTTAAAATGGTATGTGACATTATAAAAAAGGAAGCTAAGCCACAAACCTGAGCATTAACTTGGGCTAACTCGATGGAAATATCCACACCAGATGCTCTGGCCCCCAAGACCACAACGGACTTGTTGGCGAAGGGCTCTGGATAGCGGTACGAGTGGCTGTGCAAGACTTTCCCTGCAAAGCAGCAGTGGATGAAGGCACAGATAAATGCAAGAAGATGAGAGACAGAGAGATAAAAGGGAAGATGCAGGGGTGTAATGAGACTAATGGCTGGGGCTTTCAGGGTTATGCATTTGTAGTGATCAGTGATCATTTGTTGTACCTTTAAAATGCTCAATTCCAGGAATGCAGGGCAGGTGGGGGTCGGAGTAATGCCTGCAGAAAGAGGAAGGAAATATGAGTCAGCGCTGAGACGCTAAAGGGCTCCTGTGGTCTTCTGAATTCCCTCACAGAAATGCCACATGAATGCATAACATAATACCCATTCACATCACCTCAGCGAGAATTCAGCCAGATAAAAGCCTCTGGGTATATCATGGGGTAAATGAACATGCCACTATTTGAATAATGCTATGCATTTAGAACATCACCACGAAGCTGCAATCGGAGATTAGATGCAGTTGTGTCCATTGGAGCATGTCTGGGAGATAAAAGGACTCTTTAAGATGGCATCCCTCACCCGTTGCAGACGAACACCGAGTCAAACGTCTGCGTGTTCTGGTCTCCACGTGTGCTGCGCGAAATTACCTCCCACGTCACAGCTCCCCCCGTCTCCGTCTCCATGGAGACGGGCTTCACCTTTTCCACCACGGTGCTGAACTGTGAGGGACAAAGCAGTCTGTCATAAGCAATATTCTTGCTTCCGTTGGTAAGAAAAATACTTAGTAACATTGAGAACATTTCTCGAAACACACTGGATGTGTCCTTCGATTTTGTGGTGACGCTGATGCCTTTGACAAGCAGGGGTCAGTGACCCCTACATGCCTGATCTCAACTTTCTGGCCATAGCGGATCTACAACAATATTTCCCTAACAGCTCTTTTTACTCAAATAATACAGTTTATTTGGAGTCTTATGTAGTTGGACTAAGAGAAGACTAAGAGAGTCATGCATTACTTTCTCAGATTTAAAATGAACGGACACATGCCAAATAGCATTTGTCGCATGATAATTGATCCATAAATGTCATTCACGTCAATATTAATTGTTCATACATTCACAGTTTCCAATATCATCAGTTTCCCTTTTTTCTGTTTCTTTTTCAGATATGTAGAGACATTATGTTTAGGTTTTGCAAAATATACAGTCACAGGGATAGTGATGGACTGGTTTTTAACAATAGTTTACTTTGGATGGTTTATTTGTGTCCTGTTTTAGGGTTTATTAAACTTAGACATAAAAACCTGCAATGCCAGTCTACGTTTCTTGCAATAAAAGAGCAGTTTACTAGGGGATTGATTCAAGAAGTAGTTTAGCCAAAAATTTAAAATTGCTTTAAATGTACCTCACCCTCAGGCCATCCAAAATGAGTTTGTTTCATCATCGGAACAGATTTGTAAAAAAAAAAAAATTCTTATTGGCAAATGGGTCCTCAGCAGTGAATGGGTGCCGTCAAGAATGAGAGTTCAAACAGCTGATAAAAACATCACAAAAATCCACAAGCAAACCACATGACTCCAGTCCATCGATTAATGTCTTGTCAATTAACGTCAAAGCAAAAAAAACTGAGTGTTTGTAAGAAACAAGACATTTTAACTTTAAAATGTTGCTTCTGGCCAAAATACACATCCATATTCAATAATAATGCTTCCTTCAAAATTTAATTCCTTGTTGTCTTCTCACATCATAATCCACCAACATTTGTTTAGAACTGTTTTGGACGGGTTTTTTTTTGCTTGTAAACTGAGTAAACTTGATCTGTGCATATTTCTCTCCTGATTCAGACAGCTACCTTTTTCACCGCAATATTATGGATAGAGGACTCATAAGAAACGGTTTGAAGGTAAAAACTTCTTAATGATGGACTTGTTTATTACAAAAATGCACTTTTATTTTATTCAATTAAAATATTAATTGATGGACAGGAGTCATGTGGGTTGTTGTGATGCTTTTATCAGCTGTTTGGACTCTCAATCTGACGGCACCCATTCACTGTGGATGATCCATTGATGACGTGAAGTGAAGGAGGGTAAACATACCTATTAAGCTCACCAAAATCTACGTTGAGACATTTTAGTGCACAAGTTATTGGTTTCAGTACAAAAAGTTATGTTAAAATAAAATATTAATCTCTCACACAAAAATATTAAATTTTATTTTAAATGACAAAAGCATTTCAATTAAAATATACATCATTAAATGCAAAAAGTCTGGCTGTGCTGAATGGGTAATTTTTGTACCCTTTAAGCACACCCCTGTTCCCATTAAGCTCACATCATGTTTTATTAAAATTCTTGTTTATTTTAAACAAACTTTTTAAAGAATAACTGAAAAATATTTTATTTGAAGGTACCAAGTCAATCACAAAAAAACAGAACACTAAAATCAAGCAACAAGGCATTCAATTTGATCAGTTATATATTCATAGTGAAGTGTCATTTAAGCACATTGCAGAATCTAGACTAGTCCACGTTCAGCTAAGTAACATATTCAAAAATCAAATAAAACAAACCAACAAAACATTTAATTCATGGGGATGAACACAGAAACTAGCCCCATTATGAAGCCTCTTATTAAATGGATGTCAACTTATCTATAGTCTTTCAAGCCTGGAATACGATTTTTGCTCCGATTTTCCACCGATTTAGTCTCGAGAAGTTGACGCTAGTTGCCAAAGGTCAGAGCCAGTCTGCAGATTTGAGTCGACTGATTTCATAGATAATCACATATGATGGTCACAAGACTCCAATTTATTAGCTTCAGACTTTGATTCCACCCAGTCGGAGGAGATCAAACGTGTTTGATATTTTCAGCTGATTTTAGAACGCATATTGTTTTCATTTCCTTTCATTTCGCGTGTCTCCTAGCAACAATGCGCACATTTCTGGATGAGTTTGTTGTGATTGGAACAACTTGAAGGTCTAGTAGTGTATGATCCTCAATATTTACTATGTACAAGTCACAAAGGAAAACTGGCCATCAAACGACTGAGGGTCACATACACTGGTGTTTTAAAAATCTGTTCAAATGTTAAAAGTTGTGTAGTGTATTCCAGCCTTTAGTCGCTTTTTTCCTGGACAGATACGACAGGCTCCTTCTTTGAATGGATGACATGCCTCTTTCATCTTTGGGCATAAACTATAGTTATGTCTAGATTTTGTCATCTTAAAGCTGTGAAAATAAGTTATTAGCCATTTTATAAAGATTAACTTAAAGTGACAACCATCAGTTTCATGTAATATTTATTAAAATGACAAAACTTTGCAAAATAAATAATCTGGATCATGTATTAAGTTTATACATATTTTATTATGAACATCTATTATTAACAATATGTATGAAATTATACTTTTTCTTACTGATGTCACACTGAAGCTGTGTGATTTTCATGTAGTGTACCCTTTAAGTTCACCTTACAATAATATGAAATCTTTAAAGGGGTCATATGATGTTGCTAAAAAGAACATTATTTATTTATTAAAATGACAAAACTTTGCAAAATAAATAATCTGGATCATGTATTAAGTTTATACATATTTTATTATGAACATCTATTATTAACAATATGTATGAAATTATACTTTTTCTTACTGATGTCACACTGAAGCTGTGTGATTTTCATAGTAGTGCACCCTTTAAGCTCACCTTAAAATAATATGAAATCTTTAAAAATTACAGCAGTATAAAACCACAGACCAGCAATAAACTGTGAATTTATAATATTATGGATTTAAAAGTACAAGCCAGTGCCTGTGAAGTAATAAATTAGCGTAGCACACAATCTTATACAGCTAGTCAGCTAACGTTTTCTGTAGCATCTGCGCTATGTTGCTAAAACTATCTTTTGGATCTAACTGTAATTATTTCCCACATCTAAGTTCCAGGTTATATAATATGCAAAAGTCTAAAAATTAATCTCTTAATTTTACAGTAAGTAGTGAAATTTACCCAAAATAAAGACTTAAACATTTAAAAAATGCACATTTAACGGGCTCTTCTTTTGGTGAAAGTTTTCAGACAGCTTTCAAAATGGCCACCAGACAGTGTGAACCCATGGATACCCATATCTCAGTGTGCAATGATCTGATTGGCTTGAAATTACAGGAGGTATGTAGTAACAAACACATCAATTGGTTAAGACATCAAGTATGATAATGCATTATTTTTTCTTTTTATAATCTGAGCTCAAAAATGGAAGTGTGCTTAATAGGTACGTTACCGTAATGCTTAATTTTCTATTCCTTTTCATTATAGACACAGAATTTATAATAAAGACAAACACATACCTTGATATGACGAGCAATATCATGTTTCTCACAGTATTTTTCCAAATACTGCTGAACCGATGTATGGTGCAAAAAAGAATTCAGGCGGTCATCAAAGGGAAAATCAGGGAACATCATAATCTCCTTAGGCAAATTGGTCCTTAAAACAGATGAGATTTTATAGTACATAAAGTTATATAAAGTACAAAAATGATAATAAATAAATAATTTCCCTGCTCAGAATAATAATAAAAAAACATCTCTGTTCTCCCGACTTGGTCAAGTCTGCTGGTTTTGGGGTTACTTCTGCTTGTCAATTTGGGAGATCAGACCAGCTAGACCAGTCTAAGGCAAGTTTAAGATGCTTTTATTCTCGGCAGGGATAGGAACAACATATTGCTCTTTACCTGAGATCCCTATACATACTGCTGTGGATGGGATACCCATTGTCATATGTGCCCACTCGTTCCTCATAGAACCACGTCCCACCCAAATGATCGGTCATTTCATACACCACGGGTGGATCAAAGGCCTCGGGCCTAGACAGGATGTGCCGGGCAGCCCAAAGCCCCGCCGGCCCGCCTCCTATCACCGCTACACGAGTTCTGCTCCTACGCTCCATTCTCCAGAGCTACAAGGAAAATGAACCAGACACAAAAATAAACAAACAATAAATAAAGTTTCAGAGTGAAAAGGCAAAAAGTATTTTCCATCCCGATATTATATAATTCCTCGTAATTTGTGTAAATAAATATTAATTTTATTTTTCTGACAAATGTGCGCATGCGCACTGTCGCTCTTTATCAGCATACCTGCAGGTCTTATATGAGTCAGAAGCAATTACCTGTTCTGGATCGGAAAACTCACTGCCGGTAATCACTCACACACACTACACACAAAGCTGTTTACTGCGGAGATTTAGCGAGCATAATCCCCCATTTTGAAGGCCTTTCGAAAAGATGTGTCACTAATGTGAACTTCGGTCATGTCTTTGAGTCAGCTGCCTCCAATCAATATGGATTTCTCCTGTTGTTTGCTGTGGGGCGGCTGCATTGGCTGAAAGGAAAATCTTCCGGCAAGCTCACTTTATAACTGTCAGTTCTTATCAGTAACGAGACACACACCCACACTGTATACGCCACTGCCAATTCTTTCAAAGTTTTACAATACCGTCGTTCCCAACACATTTCCCTCGTTTCTTTTCCCAAGAAATGATCTGACTTGCTGTAAAGGGGGCGGATGATATAAAGCGCGTGCAGTGAATTCAAAATAAAGGCACAAACCGTCTCTCAGTCAGACATTTTTTAAAACTGCTTCATGTAAAAATCTCGATAAAACGGATGTTCTTACTTGAAGTATAGAGTTACAATTATATGCACCCAGTTTAATCTTATGTAGCTAGTTGTTTGTTTGACATCACATTTGTGCAATGTGACACTTTTTTTTGTCAATTTACCAGACAAAATGTTCACAGCAGGGCATCACTAGACAGGCCCTTTTTACTGGACACCAAAATATTACTTATAAATCCTTGTCTGACAATGGACAGAATACTGTATACTGACTTGAGAATCATTGTCCCTGATAGCCTACTGATATTTTGTGAATAAAACACTCTTTTGGTTTAAAAGTGTAAAAATGCTTTCCCTGAGTGTAAAACTCATGTTGCATCAGAAACTGTAAACTTTTTATAAATGTACTTTAGCATTCATAATACTAATTTCTTTACTTTATATTAGAAGTTCCCATAGTTGTAGGCAACCATTATTATTGAATTGGTTAATGTCAGATAAGCACTGAGTGGAGCAGAAATGCTTGAGGCTGAAGTATAGAGAATTGATGTTACATTACATAGCAAATCACCATAAAGATTATACTCAAGTTAATTATATTTAATTAAGTTTAAATTGCATGATTATAATTATGCATAATTCAATGCAGGCAGTTGGACTCTTTTTTTCTTTTTGAGTATATTAAGCCTATTATACAAGGCCTTTATTAAAATTATTGTAGGAAACGTAGGAGAAACCCCATAAACCTATTTCTACATTTATTAAGTGTTAATATTGAGATTAACTATCTAAAATCTTTACTGGCTACAAATTATAGTTAGAAAGTTGAAGATACAACATCAGTCACTAGTTTTGTATATATACTTTGTGGATTATCTTTTCCATCGAGTACAGAGTGCTTCTATTTTCTGCCTCTAAATACCATCCTGTTTTTCTCCCCAAAGTTATGTCTTTGACTCGAGTAAATTTGAGTTTACTGACATTTATCAGGCTCACTGATCCGATGGTGGCATTTTATCAGAGCTTCTCTGGTCTGAATGTCTACAGAGCAGGATGGACACAGATAAAGATGATGAGCTTCATTCTGTAGATCACGGATATGGTTATACTACTAGAGGACATTTACTAACTTAAAACGGTGTGCTCCACAATTATGCATGAATGATTCATGTCAAATAGCTGGGTCAAAATACACCAGTCTACACTCATGCCATGTGTAGAGGCTCCAAGGCCGTTCAGTTTTAGATATTACCTTTCAAAATTGTGTAGTGAAATGCTCAGTTACTGATACTAGTCACTTTGCTTTCAGCACAGAAGGCCTTTGAGTTGGCATGAAATGAACGCGTGTTGTAGATCTTATGACTTCTCTCTGGTGACGTCCAATTAAAATCCATTTTAGTCCACTGTTTTCTTACAAACGACTGCAAGCTTGCTCTCAGATCCACCTCCATCCAATCAGCAATTTTGTTTGCAATAATCTTTTCATTCAGATGTATGTCACTATATGAAAGAAAAGATCTGTTACTACTTCCATTTCATCACAACTTGAATTCCATGGCCTCAGAGAGTTAAATCATTGAATATCCGCTCATCTGATGCCTACTGAACGAAAAACTGGTTAGCACTTTCTTGATCTGGCAAGCTCTAATCAGATTGGCTGATTTCGAGCAACTTTCAAGAGTAGAATTCTACATGTTGAAATTTCCTGTTATCTGTTCAGCCGTTTGTAGAGTTTGAATGACACACTTAAATGACGTCGCCGTCGGTCACCTTACTTCACTTCCTACTGGTGGTGCGAATGGAAACCAGGAAAATGGCCTTAGTGGAGATTTAAGTTCTCAGAGGAGTGGCTGGTTTCTATAACCAACCGGTGTCAAAGCTCCTTATTTGAGAGAAACTTGTCCCTTACTGTCACATAAAAACAATGAAACTCTGTTTGACCACTTTAGGCATCTCCTCCCATCTAATTGGCCGTTTTTTGCCCAAAATAAATTGTTTTGTGGGCCTTACACCATTTAGTCAAGGATCTTCTATGTGTGATTACTGTATCACTATAACTTCTTAATATTGTGCCAGGGTTAATGATGAAGGATTGTTGTCTCCAGTTCATGGTTCACTCCTACTGTACAGAATGATCATCCCACGCTTGTGTTAGCAGCCCACACCCTTAACCATTCAACCACCACAATAACAAAACATCCAAAAAAAAAACAAATCAGGTCATTTTCGAGTGAATGAGAGCAATTCATAATGAAAGAGAGAGAGAAATATATGTAGTAGCATTACAGTACACATATTTATTTATAACATGTTTATTTTACAAGACACCATGAAATTTGCATTTGCCTCAGAGCTTTGTTCAAGGGGTTGTTGATCAGTCACATCCGATGGAGTATTAAAAACCCTCAGGAGGATGAGGAGTCCTGTCCCACAGGCACGTGGGCTGCTGGGAACATAAAATCAGTTTTAATCGAGATAACATATTCTTGTCACATCTCTGGTTTGCATTTTGTTTCTGAAGCATTAATCTTTTCACCTTTCGAATATGTATCAAGATAATGCCCTTAGATTAGGCAGGATTAGCGTCAAGCACACATGACAACATTGTACTTAACCTGATTAACCCCACCGGGAAAGATAAACCACCGGCGTCCACCTCCTCAGTCAATTATGTACTTGACATCCATAATCATTAATGTTATTTACAGACAGCCTAGCACACTGTTGGAAAGTGTTTACTTCAAACCCTGCAAGACCAGGTTATTGACAACATTTTTTATTTTACTTCTGGGAAAGCGAGCGACAATGCTTAGATGACTGTAATATTACATGATTATAATAAAACTTCTTATACACCCTAAAGGTAATTACGTGAGAAAGTGAGTTTGTGATGCATTGTATACAATTTTTTTTAGTATAACCATCTTATCTAACTAAGTGAATCAGATAATAGATTATAGTTGATGCAGATGCTGTTTGAATATAGACTATTTTCTAGCATATAGAAAATGCAGCACTACAAGGCAGATGCAGGTGCCATCTGCTTAATTTTCATGTTGCACACAGAAAAGTAAGACATGTAAGAGTAAATTAAGAAAACTGAAATAAATACATGTGGGAATAAATAAATATAAAAATAAATGAATACGTAAATATAAAAACGAATAAAAAATGTTACATTTAATGACAATTATTTTTAACTCAATTAGTTAAAAATTAATTTAAAACAATTTAAATATTTGTATTTGTTTTAATAAGTTCCTTTATTTTGATCTTGTTATTACATTTCTTTATTTTAAATTTCTACAGGCTTTGGCCTGCTTACACCTTAAGAGCAACAGGTTGCAGTTTCCCCGAAGGCCACTTGATGGCAGCAGTAAGTCACCCTCTCTGGTTTGGTGCCCTAAAGCGTAATATAGGGCATTGTGTGCCGTGTTTGCAGCGGCAGGCTGTGGGTTGTCGGAGTGGGAGACGTCCAAAAAAAACAAATATGACGATTCTTTTCGCCCTCTGATACGTGCCAATCAGAGATAAGAGAAAAGATGCTAGTCTCCGAAGAACGCGAATAAACTCTTGTGGGGGTTCGAATGTCGTCCAGTGGGGGAGGAACAGAGAAAGACAGTGTTTGAGAGAGACAAGACAGCTGGTGGTTCTTTGTCTCTGACAGGCATAAGCATTCAGCTCACCAGAATACAGCAACGCGGCCTTACCGCGGTATACATGGCGAGGGGGAAAATTGATGTATGAGAGGACATGTAGGTGCTTTCATTATGTCACAATGTCCCGAACAGAGTAGGAGACAGTGCAAATCCTTAAAAAGCAGAGAAATGGATCTGTGCTAGTTCAAGAAAAACATAAAATTGAGAAGAAGGGCAAGAGCGACGAGAGGAGGAGGGGGTGAGGGAGACCGAAATAGGGAGAGGCAGAGAAATCGAAAGAATGGAGTGAATCAACCCTATTTTGCACCAGTCTTTGTATTTTACATTCAGTGCAGGGCGCTTCCTGGCACTTCATGGTTTCGACCCAGCCGTATGACGCACCGTTCCCAGATGAAGGGGACCTGCTGCTGCTCGGGCTGATAATGATAATAGTTATGATGATAACAGTAATAACCAACTTCCCATGTCGCTCTCGTCCTGCCAGCTGCTTACGTGTTAGGATTATCAGCCGTTCTGACACACTGCAGTGGAGATGCTGCGGTACCCTGGGGCGCGAACGTGTGTGCGTTTCTGTGTGTATTTATGCATATGTGCCTGCTTGTGTGTGTTTACGTGGTGATGCCCTCAAATCTGTCCCTCTTGCCTCTATTTCCTGCCGATTACACTCTTGCCTGAGGTTGGTGGCCCATTCAGCTGTAAGTCCTGTTCTGATGGTGCTCAGGTGTGGGCAGTTACCCACTCGCCCTTTCCACCTCTCCTCTATTGGACATGTGTATCTAAAGGACATATAGGACAGATGTTTCATAGTTCATTGTTTTATATTGCTACATTGCATTTATGATACCAGCATAAATGCAAATGTTTTACCAAAGCAACATAAGAAGATATCTACTTGACCACCTTGCTAAGTAACTGAACATAAGCTCAGAATGCTTTTTAAAAATAAAGGTTCCAAAGTGGGTTTTTCGCAGTGGTGTTCCTTATTGGCAGTGTTGGTTCTATAAAGAACATTCAAAATTGCAATCTTGGAACACTGTGGAATCTTTCTATTGCATGGTTCTTTACAGTGAAAAAGGTTGTTTAGATTATTAAAATGTTCTTCAATCTAAGAAAAGCATGGTTCTTTTAAGAACTGTTCACTATAGGGCTTTCACACCAGGTAGTTCTAGGAACTCAGTTCTAGTAACTAGACCACATGGTGGTTCCTAGAAAACCAATTTCTCCCTCTGGCCGTTTTCCTGGTTGCATTATTCTTTATTCGCGGC